TCAGTAGTTGAGCTATTTCCTTTGTTCTGGATACTTCCAGAACATTCTCTGTCTAAATTGTCCATAATCCATAATTTCTGCCCAGTCCGTTTCATTTTGAAGCTTGGAAGCGAAAGTGACTCCCACACACTGATCGTTGATATGGCCGAATTTGTTGCATTTTTTACATTTAGGGGTAGTGCACTGCCTCTGTAAGTGGCCCTTATTTTTACATCAGTAACATAATGCCATGGGGATGGCCAGCTATTACAACCGCTCCAGACATACCTTTGACCTTAATAAAGTATGGTAATGATTCTAAGTTCACATTCCTTTTTAATTCTATCCATATCCATCTTTTGTTCGTAAGAATAGGCTCTAACCCTTCAATGTTGCATTTAACGAATTCGCACTTTACTATTCTCCCGTAATTTACAAAATGTTTCGCAACAAGTTCGTTAGATAGTTCGGGAGGGAGCCAGTGTATTGTGGCTATTATTTTCCGGTTTTCTATATTTATTATATTACAGAGCTTACCTTTTACACTAATAGTTATTTTATTCAAAAGAGTTTCCGCTGTAGCTTCATTCTTAAGTCCGATGGTAAAGACATGGGTCACTACAGAGGCAAAATGATAATATGAATAATATCTTTTAAGTCAATGACTTCTCTTAGTTCAGGTACAAAGTCTTGAATATTATAAGGACCGTTTCCAGGATCGACTACAAAAAGTAGGGTCTTCTGCCAGTCTATATCAGGGCTTCTTAAACTATGGGTCGCGACCCCATTTGGGGTCACTTAGCGAAATCTTGGGGTCACGAGATTTTAATGCAAAATATTGAAAATAATTTGTGAGAGTTTCAAAATGACACACTTTGTGTCACTTCTGGTGCAGTTTTCTTAGTACTTTATATATAACTTTGTCACTTCTGGTAAAGTTTTCTTAGTACTTTATATATAACAAGAGAAAGTATATATATACTTTCTCTTGTTATATATAAAGTACTAAGAAAACTTTAAGTTCGTTNAAGTGACTTTCATTACAAGCATTTAGCTTTCCGAAGTCTATGACAACATTTGGCATTGACGGCCGCGAATTTCGTGCCAATAAGCTGCCTCGACTTGTTCGATTATGTTATCGACTCAATTTCTTATTTATTTTCACATTTTCACTTCGCGGTCCTTCTCTGTTCTTTTTCCGTTATTTACACGTGTAGGTCATTTCGTTGTTATCCACATTTGATATCATCATTTATCACATACTTCCATGACACTCTTGTCTGTCCGTTACAACTGCCAAGAATTAACGCGATTAGTCTGAAAGATTGCTTTGAAGCTGGTTTAGACTAACTGCAAGTTGAAATTCCTTAAGGAATGTGCTGAAAAGAAAGTATTTCCAATGTCCATACACAGGATTAGCATCCCGGTAGAATGCTATATGTTAAAAAGAAGATTCCAAGAGACATGTTTACGTAAATCTATTAAGCTTGTAAAAAACAAAAAATATGGAATTTTAAAGGAGTGTATTGAGTTGGAAGAGGCAATATATCAAAAAGATCCGCAATTATTAAAAGAAATCAATGATAAGGTAGTAAGACTAACGGACCGGGTAACAAATACCCTTAAAAAGAAATATTTCAAAAAAATAAGGTGGATTTTAAAGAAACAAACTCCCATGGAGCGAAAAAGCAATGTACCACCTTATATTCTATGGGACCAGATTACAGTACCAAAAACTGTGGAGATTGTGTTAAAGAATGGACCCAGTTACGTTCCAAATAACAAGAACGATTGGGAAACTACAATGGCTGAAATGGAAAGAGGTATGGCCAGTCTTAATGAAGTAGAAAGGGATTATTTTAGATGGAAGATGGTTTTCAGAAAAAAGGAAAGACACGAGGTGCTTTGTAGAGAAAAGTTAAATATAAAATATACAAAAGATTGGCTAACAAAAAATCAGTTGGTGTTAACAAAAGCTGACAAAACTAAACAAATGGTGATTATGGAAAGAGGAAGGTATAATGAAGCCATTGAAGATTATATTAAGAAAACGAAATGTGATATCGTAGACGAAAAGATAGTAACAGTAACGAACAACAAGATTAAAAAGCTAGAAAAAACGCCACTCGCGAAATACATGACGTTATTAAAGAAGTCACATAACCCATGCCTCCGATTACTCAGAATCTTTGCGTTCGCAAAAACGCACAAGCAAAACAAAGAAATTAGACCGGTGGTTGAGAAATGTGGTGCACCAACCTTTATACTAGAGAAAAGATTAAAAAAGTATACATATGAAAGTTTGAAAGATAGTGTGTTTGTGACGCAGGATCCAAATAGGTTGGTAAAGGAATTACAAGGTTTGGCGTTGATGAATGATGAAATAGGAACGGTTATGGATTTTGAAAGCATGTACTCTTCCATGAATTTAACATCTTGTTTCAATACTCTTGTTGAATTTATGGTACAGCATAATCCAGGATTAACGGCGTATATGGAGGACTTAAATGTATTGGCGGATTTGATGTGTTACCAGTCCTGTTTTACGTTCAATGGGACGGTGTACAAACAAAGGAAAGGCGTCCCAATGGGTAGTCCCATGTCGGGTCTCTTGTGCGAGTTAGTGGTGTGTCAACTAGAAAAGGAGGTCCTAGGAAAATTCATGGAAGACATTGTATTATACAAAAGATAGGCCTATGTAGATGACGTGTTGGTAATTTGGAAGGATCACCGAAGAATTGAGGAATTTTTAAGTATGATAAATAACAATAAGCATGGGTTAAAACTAAAGCTTGAACAAAAAAGCCATACACATATCCATTTTTTAGATATTAACATAAGATTTAAACAAGAATATGTACAAACGGCAGTGTATCTAAAACCTACACATGCTCTACTATATATCCCGGCATGGTCTAATGATCCGATTAAATACAAAATGTCTTCGTTTAGGTCGCTTATTAAANAAAATTTTTGTTATATGGAATTAAATTAACAGGATATTGAAAATGTTTTCAACATCCTGGATTCTTGAAATTATTAGATAAGAAATGCAGTGGTTTAAAACTGATGATAAAAATTATACATGGAGTAAAACATTCACTCTTAGACAATATTCTAAGTTCTTTCAGGTTCAACAACAGGAAATATATAATTCATTATTAATTTCAAATATTTTATATATAAAACAGACTGCACATGGTACTAAAGCATGTGACTTTCAGTTGTTTTGCATGCTATCAAGAATTCATTTATCTGCTTATTTTTCAAATTCATTCTAGATTACAGAGTCACTAATATTCAACTACCTTCTTTCACATTTTATGTTAATGTTAAACAATATTCATAATAACAAGATATAGATTGTCATTCAATTCATTGCTTAGGCCTATTACACTTTTCATACTATTCTGCTTCAGGCACATTTATATAAAATATGATATTTATGTTTTCACCTTCAAGCAGTTCAATTTCTTTGAGGGCAAGCAACCAAAACAAAATAAACTTTGATTCATCTTTAAATGCTTTTACATTGTAAATTTGAACAGAATTTACAATCTAAGCAGTGTCTGAAAATGCAGTGTCTTGGCTTTGAAGATGTTAATATGAAATAAAACTTGTGTCTGTATTTACAACCAAGGATCAAGAGTTAGAAGTGCACACATAATAAAAGTAATAAAGCAAATGATAACTAGTCAACTTTTAACTCTTGATTCTTGGTTGTGAATATGACTGTTAACAGTTAAAGATATTAAAGTTAATTGGATTTTTCTATATTTCTTATTTCAGTATTGTAAAAGAAACATACAGTACATCAACATCTGTAAATCAAACTTCTATTAGTCATTTTTTTGAACCATTTTGTTGTATTTATTGGATGTCTGTTTCTTTTCTGTTGTTTATTTATCAACATTAACAGAAACCCTAACACCAATTTAATGAAAGACAAATAAACTCAAATCTAAATTCACATTATCAAACTAGGTCTGGTAAATATTAATAAAAACATTATTAAATACAATTTGAATAAAACATTTTTTTGTCCTTAGTAATATGAAAGAATGTGCACTTTCTCTTTTCTGAATAAGGTTTTTATAAATATGCAACAACTGAAAATCAACATCCATTCTGCCAAACTTCTTGGCATCAGACGTGTTTTCGTTACATCGGCAAATGCCATCGACAATCATTGCCATATTTGCACAAGTTAATCATCGATGTTGCGTCCTAATTGGCATAGTATCGACAGAAAAAAATATATGCAAATAGAAAATCCGGCATACCACAATAAAGTAAAAAATTTTCCACAACACTCTTCAATAAATATAAATCAAAATAGTTTTACGCAAAATACACAAAGAATCTTTCTTATTTATCATACAGTAAGAAAATTAGAGACATCTGTCTCTAATTTTCTTACTGTATGATAATTTTCTTACGGTACAAATTATATGTCTGTACATCTGTCATTCTTTACTATTTAAAATACAATAACAAAATATGTAGATATTCTTCTTTGCTTAGTAATACTCTACGACAATATTAGTCATACATAAGTATCTGCAGCGTCGTATTCTTTCGACAACAGCGGAAAACTGTAAAAAACCATTCGAAGTGGTTCCATTTTACCGACAGACAGACAACATACCGCAACGTTAATTTATATTTAAGTTTCGTACCAACCTCCACATCAATTCTATAGGCCATTCGATATTCTAACTAAATTTTATATAAACCAAATAAATAAAAATGCCTTAGAAAATAATAGGAGATACAAAATTATTACAGTTTGACTAATTTTGCATATATCGAAATCTATTAACCAGTTACCTAAATATATATAGTGATTACATATATGTAGAATATAAATAAGAATGACTAATCCGAATTAAATTATCTGTGTATTGTACTGACAAATAGGATTTACACACAGCTCAACAGGAGGCAAAATTTTAGTAGATGAGTCATAATATAAATAAACAATGAGTAAAAATCATTGGAAGGTATGCCATAAAACTTACATAGATCAATCCCGAAAAATAGCGATCCTTAAGATTGTGAAGGACGGATGCTTCATTGAGGCAAGTTAATTCGGCCATGTCTTCGACTTTTGTAAATTTCGGCGGATTCACTTTCTGGACATCATCCTTACTCACCACGCACCTTCGACCCGTTTCGATAATTTCGACTTCGTATTCGTCTCCCCGATCCTTTTTGATGCTGCCCATAACAAATCCATTTAAGTCGTGGGGTATCCAAATTAACTTCTTCGCCGTCCATTCCGCTTGGGCAGCCGGATCGTTAATAACATTTCTATCCACAATCAAATATCTTAATTCGGGATCACGATTCATATCTAGGATGTTCGAATCGGTCGCCATTTTGTAAGCAGCTTTTATCCGTTAATCTTCTAGAAATGTTGATAATTTATGTTTTAATTCTTATTCGTTTAACACGTTTGCGTGTTCGTTGGATTAAGAGCTCGTCTTCGACTTTTGACTTAAACTGCACGACTACCACTTACCCTCACATCCGACCGACTGATGAAGACACCGCCCCACACACCACCCGGTCTGTGTAATTCCTCATTCAAACAATAGGTGGCATCCGTGAAAATTTTCAAATTTTTTACATACAATTTAAATCGTAATTGTTTTTAATTTTCACCTTTTAAACTAGTTTTAATTTTTATATATTACCGAAATAATATAAAAAATTATTATATTATTTTCGTTCGAACTACTAATTTTTCCAATTTCGTGAAAATATTTCCTTCAATTTATATAATGTTTCATTTTTCATAGGAGTCGATGTCTTACTTCTCCTCCAGAGGGCAGCGTAACAATTGAACTTTTTTCGGTTTTCAAAAATAATGATTAATAAAATTTACAATTCTGAAGAAAAACGTGTTCATACGCTGATAATCATGTGGAATTTGCAAAAGGAAATATATAAAATATATTAATTTTAAAATGCCAATATCAGAGACGGACTAGATTCGAGTCATGGCGGGTGTAGCCGTGTCGAAGCAGTCTGATGATCATAAAACCGATTAAACGAATCGACGACATATTATAACAGATCTATTCTGTTTATTAAGTCACAATATGCTGTTACACAACCTGTCATAAGACAAACTTCACAAAGTCTACAGATTTATACTTGATGCTTTAATGTTGTAATTACACACCCCATTAAATCATTGAAGAACTCAAACTTATTTGGTCAAAACTTACAGAATACAGAACGAAGATACTTCATTCTGTTTCTAAATAGAAGTGAATGATATTAGCCATTACAGTAAAAGAATAGATTTTATTTAGAAATTCATAATCTGAAACTTCTTTAGCGAAGATTAACGGATTACAGTACAAAGGTGCAGTCAAATCTCGGCTCTCGAACATAATTCGTTCCTAAAAGTTGTTATAAAACCGAGGTTTGAGTGTATTTTTCTTATCGTAATTTAAAATTTCCTCGAAATCCTTTGGTTCGCTTTATCGTAACTTTTACGATTATGCTAATGTTGAAGAACTGTTCCTGCTCTTTTATAATGGACATATACTTTTCAATTTATCGTAGTCTGTTTATAAAATATCCATACATTTTGATGACTCGGGATTTATATTTATATATACTTTACCAATATTTACAAAAAAAATCCCTTCAAATCGTATTCTTGCCAAGCGTGCAAGTCTCTTAAGTTTCTGTCGTTCCCGTAACCGTCAAGAGAGACGGTAGATTAACTGGTCTTTCGACTAATTGGCAAGCGCCAAATCCGACAGAGGGCGCTGTTTTTGAGCCAAGATGGCTACCGTAACGGGTAAGGAGCCGACCACGTCGTCACCGATAGAAACTGAATCGGCTCAGGCACTGAACAAACACGTGGTCGGTTCCTTACCCGTTTCGGCAGCCATCTTGGCACAAAAACAGCGCCCTCTGTCGGATTTGGCGCTTGCCAATAGTTTAAACTAAGCTAGACACAATAATTGCCGTTAGTTGGCGTCTCTGTTGGCAGAAGAGCGTTGTTCTTGCTATGTATATACTGAAGTCAGTGATTTCGACCTAAAATAATTGTTTTTTTTCTTTTTAGCTACATAAAAATTCTAATGTGCTTTGTGCCAGGATGCAAGGCAGGATATAAGTCATCGAACGAGAAGACATATTTTTTCCGTGTTCCTAGCGATAAGATTGAGGAGTGGATGCGATGCATTCCGCGAGACGACAAGATGCTAACAAGTAAACGTTACGTTTGTGACGTACATTTTGTGAGTAGATTTTAAAAACCTACTCCCATGTTACGAATGAAGGGAAAGTAGAAATTCCACGAGGTCGCTGGGCATTAACGTAAGATGCGTATCCATCAAACTTCCCTAATTGTCTTAAGTAAGTCCGTACCTCAAAAACGATCAACGCGATGTCTCACAAGAAATACTGGCGTCTAATTACAGAACGATTCCGTAACCATAGTTCTGTTTTTTACTACGAGATGTCGCTACTTTGTGACGTCAAGAAGCTGGACAAGCATAATTCTGACTGTGTTGTAAATACACTACAGTCAGAATTAATTTATTACGAACAAAATTTTCTACTGTTCGTTTGTTGAACGTCAAATTTCTTTTGTCTAATGTTCAATGTTTATATTATAGCTTTAAAAGATGATTATTGTTTATTATTTTTATCAAAATATTTAAAATTATACAGTATTTTATAAAAGTTATTCTATAGAATATGTAGACTTTCGTTCTTAAATTGTTTTAATCTCAAGATTTTCCTGCTGAATTTTCAATCTCTTACTCGAATTTTCTTTTTTGTATTATTTAATAAAATTATTCGTTGCGTTTTAGAAATAATTTAAACGTTTTATATTAGAAAATTTGCAATACAGTATTTTATTTCACAATTAACGTTTATCTTTGAAATGTTCCACAAAACCAAACTCAATTTTCTGCATAGGCATCCTTATTTGGTTTTCACGAAATTTTAAACAACCTAACCCTAGCGAATACCAAGAGTTAAGTGTATCTTGTGTAATTTGAGTAAAGTCTTTTGAATTGGTAGTTTAAATCCATCAACAAATTATCATCGTCACTAAAATATTAGTGAACTTTTTGTAGCCTGATTTAACAGATCTGCAATGATTCATTTGAACGTTAGCTAAGAAAAAATGCCACAGTATTCATAAGAAAGATGTTTTCTTTATGAAAAAGATTTATTGAAAATTATACATTTGCAACATTTTCATATGCACAATCTGTTATTGAATGTTTTCCTTTTGTAAGTACAGTACATTTCTGAACTGAGCGTAGTCATGATCCCATGTGCCAGAGCCGCACGAGTAGAATTTATAAATTCCATGAATTTTTAGACAGTACGACACA